CTGAGTTTTACAATTGTAATAGTATTTAGTTTATTTTTGTTAAAATTAGCATAGATATAAGCGATTTGGTGTATACTGTGATGCTTATATTTTATTAATAAAGAATTGAATTGAATTGAATAGCGGGGACAAAGGATCACTGCGCCCTAAACTAGTCTTTGTATGGCGGTTGATGCCTAGGTACTCGTCCTAAACAAGCCTGATTTGGAACAAATTATTCGCAGTGTTTGCAATTTGTTTAGCTGTAAAGGTTGTATTGTGCGATAAGCTTTTGTAATTCAAAATAAATTGTTAATATTGGATTAATATTGGATACTTTGATAAAATATATCAAAGGTATAAATCAAATTTTTAGTAGAAATTTGGTATATTGAATTAACTATTAATTAAAATCCACGTCAGCTAGATACAATTATATTTACATAACTATTATTTTTCATGCACCTTGACAAGATTGATTATGTTAAGAAATAACATAATTGTTCTTGAGTACGTCACTGATAATATAGCCGCGCAACAAATTAGTTAAACCGTTACTGATGAGATTAGACACCATTGTTTTAAGTTTTTAATCAAAATAAATTTTTGATATTTACTTATTTTCATGGTATACGAGCCCTGATGCAAAATAGTTCGTCTAGTGTGAAAGTTTCTTTGCCAGATTTTTTGTAACTTCATTATTTTTGTATATCTACATAAAATATTAAGCTGTTCTACTATCATATGTCGCGTTACTTATGCCATTTTTTAATTATGAACCAATAAACTATTTCAGCTTTTAAATTTATACATATCCTGATTTAAATTCGAAGAAGTTATAAGCAAAATAGTTCGTCTATCGGTGAGTTCAATAGAATATTCCTTCTTTGTACAATTATGTTGCATAATTTAAATTTGTAAAAGTAATTCTGTGTCATTTGTCAAGTAAGACTGTATAAATTCTGAAAATTTCAGTCTTTTTCATTAGTTTTCAAATAACAATGGGTCGTGGCAAACCCGTGTGTGAAGAGCTTCGAAAGCGAATAGTTTGTGGGGTCGATGCTGGCAATTCAAGTTACAAAATATCTAAAGACTTGATACTTCCCAGGTCTACAGTCCAATCTATCATCAAGCACTATAAAAAGAATAGAATGACTTCTTATATGAAGAAAACTGGTCGACCACGCATCACAAGTGCAGTAGAAAACAGAATCCTAAAGAAAATTATCAAAAATAATCGTCGTGTTCGAGCTGGAGAACTCACGGTGCAATTGAAGGACATGATTCCGAAGACGTCTCAGTTGATACTTGCAAAAGAGTCCTAAAAAGAATGGGTTACGGATTTTACACCGCTAAGGAGAAACCACTGTTGACTGCTGTACAAAAGAAAAAGAGGTTGAAGTTTGCTCGTGATCATTTAAATTGGACTTCCGACCAGTGGCGTAGTATCATTTGGAGTGACGAGTCCAAATTTGAAGTGACAGTGGGCGATGAAAGGAAAAAAGTGATTAAAAATCAGGCATTTCATACTGATACTGTCTCAAACGAAAAGTGAAGTTTCCGGCGTCTCTTATGATATGGGGCTGCATGTCTGCACAAGGTGTTAGTAGTATGCAGTTTGTGGATGGTTCTATCAATGCTGCAAGGTATCAAAACCTTTTAGAATCCATCAAGACAGGGGCGGATCTACTTAAAGGCTTTTTGGGCTGCAGCCCAGGGCCCCGTGGGTACAGAGGGCCCCCAACCGATCTGGAAACAATAGACGATATTGTCAACAATAAAAATTATCTAGAATTTAAAAAAACAGATCACAAGGTTGGCAACACTGCGATCAATCCACCCGTGTGCGCATCTATCAAACGGAACGGGGAATACCCTGTCGCTTGTTTTCGGTCGGTGTATTCCGTGTATTACTGGGGACTTCCCTCCGCTTATCGATATATTTAAATAATAGAAGCCAAGCCTATGAGATATAGCAAACAAATTAAAATTTAATGGATTTGCAAGACAAAATTAAGAACATATAGATCTGGGAAGTGGACGTAATCAGTCTTACACCTCTTGCAGTGAAATTTTTTGGCTAAGTTATGAAAAGAAACTTGTTGATGTTTTCCCAAACCAGGATGTCGTATGTAGAAAACAAATAATTGCGATTTAACAAAGGACTTACAGTGCGATGACCAAATAAAAGAATTTGCAGCACAAAAATGCAGAAAGGTTGCTTTATAATTTATATAACACTAGCTGACCCACGCAACTTCGTCTGCGTCTCTCAATAGTAATAAATTTTCTTCGTTTTTGAAACATTCTTCATTGGTGCTCCGCTCCTATTGGTCTTAGCGTGATGATATATAGCCTATAGCCTTCCTCGATAAATGGGCTATCTAACACTGAAAGAATTTTTCAAATCGGACCAGTAGTTCCTGAGATTAGCGCGTTCAAACAAACAAACAAACAAACAAATAAACAAACTCTTCAGCTTTATAATATTAGTATAGATAACCATTCATAACCTGTCAATTTATTTAGCAATAAATTATGTTTTAATAATTAAATAAAATATTTTGTTTTCCTATTTTCTTCCTGTACATAATATATTTTATATGTACCTACATCACTACAGAAAACAGTTTTTTGACAAAATGGCAATTGGTTGGGAATCGGAAGGGCCCCTAAGCAGTATTAGCCCAGGGCCCCACAAATTCAAGATCCGCCCCTTTTTATTTTTATTTTTTAAGATCCGCCCCTGCATCAAGATCGAAGAGCGACTTAAAGGCTAAACTCTTGGCTGTCTGGGAGTCAATTACGCCTGAGGAGTGTGCAGCGTTGTTTGCAACCATGCCTCTTCGCATTAAAGCTGTCATTGAGAGCAAAGGCGACACAACTAAGTGGTAGAAGAATTATTTTGCGTTATGTTTTTTAAAATATTTTTTGAAATTTTTCATGTTATGTAAAGTCATGAAAGAATTTCAGTTATGTTAAAATAAACTTTAAAATGTTCCTCAAATTGTGGTTTACTTTTTATTAAACGTTCTTAATTATTTTACCAATATTTACTTTCTATATTTTAAGTATAGCAACAATTATATTTTAAGTTTTCATGTTGATAGCTTTGGGTTGTTCTACTTTAATGTTGGCCCCCAGTAAAAAAAGGATTGATGAACGATGTGTTGTAAAGATGTTGTTACATATTGTGGAGCCAAATAAATATTATTTCAAAAATCAAAAAAAAATGCGTCAGGTCCAAACAGCTGTCAGATGGCACAGATTCTTACCGAACGTATAATATTTTAGTGAAATTCTATGAATTTGGAAGTGTTATTGAGTTTATTATAGATTACGGTCACAGAAAGGTTGCCGAACTGAAGATTGAGCTCAAAAAGAGGCGCAAAAGTTTTATTTGTACACATAGGCACTGCACAACACTGTGGAATTTTAGAAATCAGTATTCCTTTTGTAACGTTTTTAAGAATGAATAAACCAAAAAAATGATCGAAAAATACAAATCGTGTGTTTTGACAGGTGGTTGGACCTGACGCTACAGTGCTGCCATCTCACGTGGAACATTTCAGTAAACCCTCATTGCTTAACACAGTTTATGAGTTCATATTTCTTCTTTACTTGTCAATTTTTTAGCATTTTGTTTGGTAGATATTGACATGTTAGTGTTACCAATAAAAAAATTGATGAGTTTCTTTCATTATGATGGGGCTTCATTGTAATTTATTAGTCGAATATCGACTTTTGGGCGGCCACAGGTTACTAATTTTTATTAGAAATAGATTCACTACTAAATTAATTGAATTTAGATGGCAGCGTTATTTACAATAAAAATAGCCTTAGACAATTTCGTGTGCCATCCAAGTGGTGTTTAGGGTAGATTATTTTATTAATAAAATAAAACCGCGACTTCCTTAAAGGGTTTACCAATTGTACACCACTTGTAAATTAAACATAATTTTTGTTTTACTATATTTATTACATAGTCACACAATAATTGAATACATTAATATTTGTGATATTCAACATGTTTTAATATACCATTATTTAGAGAAAGTGTCGAGCCATTGACAACATTTAGTTTTTTTGAGCTCACTATTTATCTATGTGCTTTAAGTTTATTGATTCAAAACATGTTGAAGGTTTTAAGAACTCCAATATTATTAAAATTACTTACTAACAAAAAGGTTTTTATTTATGAAATACTTTTTTTTTAATTAACAATTTTTGACGTCGTATTATTGAATGCATGTATGTTTAAGGCAGCGTTCCATTCTATACTATTGTTTTACATAAGACTAAAAATGCAAGTTAAAATTTTAGAACAATAGTTTTGTTGGGTTTATACCTTTCTGGTATGTTGATCGAGTATAAAGTACACATTGAGTGTTGTTTTGTCCATAAAATAATTAAAATTAGTTTTAGTAAAAATTTGTATGTACTTGAAGTCGTATTTGTGTCTTCAGCCGAGTTTGTATTTTTGTTTCTTGAAGTTTTTCATCAAAAGGTTTTATGTTTTTAGTCCTGTAGTTTTAGATCCAATACAACTTTATTACTCACCATTTACTGGGAGCGCTGCTTCTTAGTAACCGTCCTGTAAACGAGATTTAATTTAAGTATGAAGACATCGAGGCACGGTATAAAATAATAAATACACGCAACAAAAAATAAACGATCAACAGTATACGAATGATACCCTGATACCCATATTAGTAAAAAGCAAACTAAAAATTTGTGCACAGGCGCGTGGTCTATACGAGTTAGTAATAATGAAACGGTAGAACGGAACAACGATATGATCCATGATGAGTATGAAAGTGTATGAAGTCTCGGATCACATTTTACAAAATAAATCGGAGACTTCATACAATGAAAAATAGTTTTTTTTACTATTAAAGAATACCAGTAATGTCGTTACACATCTCTGGTATTCTCGGTTCGCGTAGAGTGAGAGTGAAAGATGGAGTGTGGAGTAGAGAGCAGCGCCGTGCACTAAAACAAGTACGAACTGAGCTCTGGCACTACTTGGGCGGGCGCGCGTAGGGCTCGGGGCGCGAGTAGTGGCGCGGCGCGTGGTGCACGAGCGGCGCGGGCGGCGCGCCCAGCGCCGGCGCGCGCCGGGTCCCCACCGTGCGCGCAGACTTGTAGTCGCGCGGCTCCTCCTTGTAGTAGCCCTCGTCCTCGTAGTAGCGGTCGTGCGACCGCTCGTAGTAGAACTCGGGCTCCGCCGAGCCCCGCACCGGGCCTCGGATCTGTGGGTGGAGCGGGTAACTCTACAAAACACATACGCCGTGTTAAAAAAAAAAAACATTTCATTAAACGTTTTAATATTATAGTACGATTAGAAGCATGAAATATTAGGGTCCATCTCTGTAGGTGTCAGAGTTTTGATAGAAATTACTGCACTCACTGAGACACTATAAATACTATGCTGTCATCGAGTCGATCTAATTAAAACTACTATGGCCTACCTTATGTCTGGTTAATAAAATAAACAATATTGTTATATGGACTTATTGATATTTCATAGATGTTTCTATTGCAACACATCTACTGGAGCCAAAAAATTAAGAAAGTCTGCCATAAAGTATTTACAGTCCGTGTGGTGACGGATTAAGAATACAGTGTCACTCCCCCCTCCCTCCCCATTCAACCCGTGGGTGTCGTATGAGCCGACTAAGGAAAAATTACGCAGAACAACAACACTGCACAGAGAAGGAAAACTTGACACAAACCCTTTTTTTTTTTTTTTTTTTTTTACGTGTGGAAATTCCTTCGGACCGTCACCCCTCCGGTTGGTGGAGCACGCTCCGCACGCACGTGTTGGTGGAGCCTCTGTTTAGAAGACAGAGGCCCGCCGAGGCCGCCCACTCCTCTACGGCCTCGCCCCTTGCGTTCGTCCTGGGGGAACCCCACGCAATGGACTTTGCGTTGAAGTCCCCCAGCACAAGGACGTGCCCAGACGCTAGTCGCCGTATCGAGGTCTCCAAGCTGGTTAGGAAAACCTCGAAGTCGTTCAAACTCCGGTTGGGGGAGAAATAAACACCATATATGGTGATCCCCCCCACTCGACGGCAACATATCCAGTGCCCTTGTCTCTTAGCGACAAGGGCGGGGAATGAGCCGTCGTGGAACCGACGACTGCCACGGAGCCGTCCCAGTCACCCATCCAGTTTGGACGGGGAGGGACAGAATAGGGCTCCGCGACTACGGCAACACCTATCGACCACTGTGCCATGGTACAAACCCTATGCCAACCCATCTGGCCAGCGTGGTATAGTAAGGCTGTTGATTGATGTGATGTGAAGTATTAACTACTAACAGAACAAAATTAAATGGGAGAAAATAATTTTAATAAAATATTTTACTGTAGTAAAAATACTAACCGGCGGCTCAGGAGCGGCACCATACTGGTCTTCGTACGGGTAGGAACCCTCCATGGCAGTGCGAGCGCGGTCCAGGATGCTGATGACCTTGGACTTAGCTGGCATTTGGCGCTGAATAAGGGGAGCGGGCGACATTCGCGGTGGAGGGCGGGGACCACGTCCCGGGCCAGCGTGTCCATGGCCTAGAAACGCATTTTATTTAATTATCATCAATTCAGAGACAACTGTTTGAGCAGTTAAAAAAAACAAATCATTTCCATTTTCATTTTTGAGGAAGGTATACGAGTACATATTCTTATTGTTCTTTTCTTATATTATACAATTTAAAAATTAATTCAGTGGTTATAATGTTGATATTTTTGTTTATTGGTGCGTAGCTCACCTGTTTCCGATGTACCAAACAGCACAAAAATGTTATAATCTTGTTTTTGAGATAAATATGATTTAACGTCAACTATGTTTTTGCCATAGTTCCCAGGGTTCACAAATTACTTATAATTTAATCTGCTAAAGTATAAGTCAGAATTACTTTGCTGATTAGCCATAATTACAAGAGACATTCTCACCTCTATCAATTTCTCTCATCTGTGTTTGCCAGATCATGTCATCGGTGTCGGGGACTAAATATTTCTTAACTTCTGCGAGTGCATACGCGATGCGAGCGTGGGCCTCAGCCGGCGGTGCCAGCGCCGTGATCTCTACATGCAGCTCATCAGACAAGTGGGCGTACTTAGGGTCCAGAGAGTTACGAAGTTCTTCTTCCTTTTGTCTGGAAAAAAAAGCATCATGTTAGTTTCAACACAAATTGAAATCTACTTCTGAGCTGAACATGTAATTTTCCTATCCTCTAGAACTTTTGCTGTAGCTGCTTGAGAAGGTAGATAAGATGTTATAAAATAGAGTAGTATGTATGAGAATACAAATACATTTATTAAATGGTTGATATGCTGGACATAGGCCTCTCCTTAAAGGAGGTTTGGGCTTACCCTATCATGCTTGCCACAGGTTGGTAAAGGCTTTGTGTCAAGTTTTCCTTCTCTTTGCAGTGCTCTTGTTCTGTGTAATTAGCTCCTTTGGTGATACTCTGTATTCTTAATCCATCACCACATGGACATTATATTGTTCTATCATCTCTCTATTCCAGACAGGAATAAGGTTATTCTCACATGTTATATTTACCTATCTCTCATAGATCCTCTGCCAAGTACAGCCATTTTGCACATAGTCTCTTCTTGCAAATGTTTCATTGTATTACCCTTACGGCCAAGGAGTTGTCCTACGAAGTTGAACTGTGGACAATATAAATTTTTTAGTGTTACCAATATAAAAATAAGCAAACAATAATTGTAATCTCCTTTATTTAATTAAAGTTTATCTTGTTTTTTTTTTATATTTAAACTTGTGATTTTAAATGCAATATTAAATCTAGTGTTATTAGTGATTTGTAAAAATCTATAATACAAAATCCTTTCAAATTTAATTAGGTTTGCCAAATTAACATTATATCCTTGATGCACATTTTAGCCTAAAAATTTGTTAGAAAAATACATGGCTATTATCTATTTATATAAAATGTTAAGTTGGTTTGTTTGCACTTCAAAAACTCTGAAACGACTGAGTTCAATCTGAAAAGTTCTGAACTGATTAAGTTCAAATTTTGACAAGATATACAGTGTGCGTGTGTCAGTTTTGTTAATTTCACATCAATAGAACCACAATGTGCCACAGCAAAGCTTGGCAGGGTACAGCTAGTTTATTTATATAAGAGAAAACATTATAATAATAATATTTTTGGACATCTGACACAACGCCATCTAGTTTCAAACTAAGCAGTACTATGAAGGCTAGATTGATTAATAGAATACTTGTAAACTTTTTTCTTGTAACAAATATTTGAAGACCATACAATATTTGATCCGACCCGGGATTCAAACCGGTGACCACAATACAGCAGTTGCATATGCTACGACTGCACCACTGAGCCAGTTAACATTCCATCTTAAATCACAAAAGCATTGCCATTCTTTACAATTAATTTTTGTATAATAACTCCTTTCTAAGAAGAGGCCTTTGTCCAGTTTTGGACTATTAAAGGCCGTTGATGAAGTCTATAGCTATTTTCGCAATATGTACTTATAGAGATCATACCTTGGGATGGTCTTTGACGGGTACTAGCACCTTCACAGTAACTTTGGTAGGCTTGTCACGGAAAACATCCAAATACTTAGAGTCCTTCCCAGGTATCCTACCACTTGACTGCACTTTGATGACCTCTGTAAAGAATGCTTGCATTATATAATCATTCCATCATTTTGATTGTGGGAGTGAAGCATAGAGCTCATGGTAAGTTCTATATTATCTTATAACTTCACACACTAAAGTCAGAGGGCCAAGTGAGAGTTTATTTCACTTCTACTCAATCGTCACGGTGAGCGCATTTAGTGCTACGATTGGCACGCACAAAGATCTCCACCAATTGCAACTCTAAACACGCTCACCGTCGAGTCAATGTTAAATAAACTTGCACTTGGCCCTCTGATCCTAAGCCAAGCAGTGCAGGTGCCAGACTGCTGATCAACATACTTATATACACGGTGATTTTGAAAGCGTTTTGGAAAAGAAAATTTTGAGTTATTTATCAGTAACAGAAGCTATATATAACGTTAATTTAATAAAATATATTTTTTTTTATCATCAAAGTCGATATTCATATCGTTTACAGAGAAAAAGTCAGAACCAGTAGTAGTAGGCTATTCAATCACACGTAGGTAAATACTACGAATAGAAATACTATGCGTTTTAATATCGAGTCACATCAAATCGTATTCGCCAATAAAAACAAAGCTACCGAGTTGCGCCGGAGTCGTCCAACCAATGACGTCTGCCCCGTAGGCGCATGCGCGGGGCTCACCTGTCATCGTCAGTCGGTCAGTAATACCATAACATCGTGACGGCACGCTGCATTGATTAGCGCTAAAATGAGTCGACAGTACGAATTTTCAAACGTGGAATACTTCTTGGCAATGGTACAGCTGTACGCTACTGCCAACTACAACTTGGAAGAGGCTCGGCGTTTGTATTCCCAAGCCGGAGCATTTAAATGCACTACGGCTACGTGGAATTGAAAGCCCTCAAATTCCCTCCACACCTACCATCTTGGCTGCAACCCAACGTCTTCTCGACCACGGACAATTTCGTGCGCCTACTCATGCGCAAGGTCAAGGACGTTTTAATTATTATTCGCCGGAGTGTAGTGCGTGCATACCTGGACAATGAGCTTAGTGATCGGACTTAACGCCCCTGGATTTTTTCTTATGGTCGGAAATAAAAAGACTTGTTAAACACGGGAATATGAAAGCCGTGATAATTTACGCATTGCGATAGTGGACGCTTTAAAGTGAAAAGTGATAGAGACACATTAAGAAAATTAAAAAAACAATTGCATTAAACGTGGACGTTTGTGTATTGAATGCAGCGGACTCCATTTTGAGCAGTTCCTTCGATACAGAGAACTGTAAATAGTGTAAATAGGTATGTAAGTTAATTATTCTGTAGATAGCTCCGATTTTTTAAATACGCCTGAAATATTTATACCTACAGTCCGTTGATAAATTGATTTGTTGTGAAAAGAACAATCGTGGTTAATAATCGAAAAGAAGTTTAAATAAAATAGGTATTTCTGACGGTCCTAAGCCCGTGTAAAGTATGAAGGACAAATTGGAGTCTATCTACGTAAGTACTCGCTAGCTCGCGCCTATAGGTATAGTTTTGTCAGCTGCTGTTAGCGTCGGCGGTGCGCAGCGGCCGCCGAAACGCCCACGGACGTGTTTCATTCATATAAGATAATGAATGAACGATCAGTCCATTACTACTTTCCAAGTCGATCGAGTAAAAATGAATATTAAAACTGAAACTTTTTTTTAGACAACATTACAATTGATTTAATCATTTTTATTGGTACTATCGATGATTCCAAATTCAAATATTTCGTTTCCAAAACGCTTTCAAAATCACCGTGTATTTCTATATATATACATATCATAGATAAATTACACCTAGACACAGAACAAATTGTAGTATCACACAATATTTGTCCTGGGTGGAAATTGAACCCACAACCTTCGGCTTAGCAGTCAGGATCACTAACTTCTAGACAAACAGGCCCCTCTCTAAGTGTGTGAATAAAATCTGTAAGTATTTAAAACTTAAATATTATATTTTTAATGTTTAATTATTTATTTTTTTGGACATCTGACACACAACGCCATCTAGTTTCAAACTAAGCAGAACTTGTACTATGAAAGCTATATTGATTGATAGAATACTTATCTACATTTTTTTTTGTAAAAACATACATATTATACATAGAAAACACCCAAACACAAAATAAATATTTGCATATCATACAAACATTTGGTCCAACCTGGGAATAAAACCCGAGAGCTCAGGTTACGCACGCATATGTGAGCGCATACGCTACCACTGCACCACTAAGGGTAAATATTAATATCTTAAATAACATTTAGTTGCTTACAACCGTACTTACTAACTAAATATATACTAAATACTAATAGGATTGAATAAATATGTAACTAATGGACACCAAGATATCCAGTTGTAAGATTTGAAATAATAATTTGAAAAGACAAAGCAAAATCAAAACTACCTCCTCACATGTTATTATTATAAATACCATCCAACCCAGTACACAATTTGCATTAAGTGCTTTGTACACCAAGAACACTACAAAGTCATAGACTACAGTGAAAATATTTGCATAGATAGGGTTCACAGACCTTCACTTACTGACTTTTACAGTATACCCTTGATTAGCAAAAAGTTCATTACTGATTATTAGCATTTTTGGTTATGATTTCACATTTGCCCTAATTAAAGTGCCATTATGCTTAAAAAGCAGCAATACAATACATGTGATTGAAGCAATGGCGTGGTTTTGCAAATAAGCGTGGGATAATCAAAGAACAAAGTTCATTGACTCCTCTCCTAAGCACAAACAAATCGGTCAAGACCTGTTACAACATGCCAGTCAGAGGTCTTTCACATCTTTTAAGAAGAGAAAAATAAGCTGAACGTTAGAAAAGTATTGTCTGTAAATAAATATAAGTAGAAGTTAATTGTAAAAACAATAATTACAGTAAAATGCGATGCATTTTTAAGCACCGTAAAAATAACAACGTTCGAATTACATAAAACTGAGATCGCCTATTTACGATAAACATGACATTAATATACTAACCTTGGTCAATCAGCTTGGTTATGATTGGAAACTTAGCATTATTAAGTTTGATTTTCTCACTTAACAATTCCCTCATATATTCACTGGCTTTTTCATTTACTTTTAATTCGCCGTCATCTTGTTCCGGGTCGTTTTCATTACTCGGTTCTTGTTTAGCATTTCGTTTAAAATCACTACTGTTATATCCATTTTTATTGTACCGTTGTTTATTGTACATTGTACCGTACCTACGTTTGCTTTATGCAATAAAATAATAAATATCAAGCAAGACGACTTTTACTACGTCACACAGTCATCAAGCATCGATAAATGACGCCGCTGGCGTTAAGAGAGGCAATCAACCACTGACAGTATTACCAACTCCCAAAAAATATTTACCCCTAAGAGTACAATCGAAAATGCAATTAATGATAAAACTGTAACTGGATGACGTTTCAAATGATTACATATTTTGGTTTATTGTATATTTAAAGAACTTATAAATTATATTACTACTAAACTACTTCACCATTTAATTTAAAAACAATATTAATCTTCTAGTCTAGAACAACACACGTATTTTTCATATTTCAAATACATATATGTATCAAACGTCTACCATAGAGCCCTCCTGCCGTTTTCATCATTGATCTGCATCAATGATGAAAACGGCAGGAGGACGGCTTTACTCTCTACTTCCAATTCTTTTTTACAATTGTAAATTAATCATAAAATGTAAATAACTAGTAAGTTTTCTATTTTCAAAGGTTCTAAGTATAGAACCTTTGAAAATGGAAAACTTAAACCTTTGAAAATGGAAAACTTAAAGAAATGCCATACAATATAAAACTCCTTCAATTCGGAGAAAAATCTCTGAGTAAACCATTTCCCACAGACTGAAAACAGTTTACGAGCAAACCGTTGACATAATAATAATAATAATATACATATCTAGGGACCATAAATTAAAGTCATGTTGAAATGTAAGTATCAAGTTATTAAGCTATCAGATTAAAATAATTTTGAAATTTTATGCTTGATCATATTTTATCTACTCATTATAAGGTAGCGCCTAAAAAGGTTTTGTTAATCATCTATTTGCATAAGGTTCCAGACGTTTATAAAATGTTTTCTTTTTAAAACTATTTTTATAGAACATTTCATAGAACTATTTCTACGATACTTGCATCTTTACAGATTTTTTCCTTTTATAAACTAGAGAGAGCAAATGAGCAGAAGGTATACAGCTGATCCGTCGCTTTTTTAGTCCCTAATGCCATAAAAAATATATTAGCCATAAAAATTGTCTTACTTGTTAAGTCACAATAACCATTTGACTGTCTCGTTGGTGCAGTAGGTAGCGTTTACGACTGCTGTACTGAGGCCTCAGGTTCGATTCCCGGGTCAAACCAAATGTTTGTATGAACTGCAAATATTTGTATCGGAGTGTGGGTGTTTTCTATGTATGATATTTATGTATTTACAAAAAAAAAAGAAAAAAAGTAGATGGCGTTGTGTCATATTTCCGAAAAAATAAATAATAAAACATTTAAAATATAATATTTAAGTTTGAAAGTATATTATCAGTTATAAGTATTTTATCAGTCAATCTAGCTTTCATAGTATAATCTCTGCTTAGCTTGAAACTAGATGGCGTTGCGAGTTAGATGGCCCAAATATTTATTTATTTATTCAAGTGACCTAATATTTTCGTATTTCACATAAAATACAATCAACCTTGACTATGAGGTCAAGGTTTATTAACTACAGATAAACTCAAGAGTATATTCTTTCTACCATACATTACTCAATACCAATGCAAATATATGACGAGTCAGAGATTTAATGTTTATTTTAGGATTGTATTTTGGGCTATTTAGCTTTTATTTTATAAGTACATTTTTTTTCTTCGTTACTTTTATTTATTATATTATTATGTTCATGAATACATACAATTAAAGGTGTAAAGGGCACCATGATACTGGCAGCATTGCCTCGCAGGATTGCAACGGACATCCTTTTCACCAGGAACGAGCCAGAGCGGGAGTCACCACCTTTATCCCTAATTCGGCGACCAATCTCCGCAATTAAACTTTTCGCTTCCGACCTTCAAGTGCCCAGTTTCCACCGCAATGGGCACAAAATAATTTTATTAATCGTATTGTAATCGCTTCCTACTACGAAGCGTGGACGGTGAGACTCAGATATGAGACTGTGCAAACGAATGTAGCGTCCCACACCAAGCACTTGCCTAATTTCCACGGCAGCAAAGTCAAGTTGTCTGGCCGCTTCCTGTAAGCTCTGTTGAGACCCGGTGGGTCCAGCACGCAGGGTACATTAGCGGATATAAGAGCCCTTCGGACTATGTCATTGAGGGCATGGTGTCACGAAAATCTACCTTTACATTACTTGCCCTCACAGACTCAATGATTAATCAACGCAGAGTCTAAAGCGCTGGTGCTACAAACTTAAATTTTATATTTTTTCTTTATTTAAATTCTTCTTTGGACAAGTAGATATGAGTTGAACAATGGCGGTCTTAATGCTACAGGCATTTTGTTTGGGTGGTGCTGAAATGAGTGACTTTAAAAGCTAATAAAGTGAGTGCTAATAAAAGCTTTTAAATGCAATAAGTGAATGTTACCAAAATAATTCATTTAATGTTAAAACTAATCTCTGCAAGTCTGTGATTTAAAAAAGACTAGATTACTTATACTTACTAAGTTTTAAGATATTCTGAAGAAAAAATAAATGTTTATCACTATTTTAAATATTAAAACTGTTTTTGTAATTTGTAAAGTACTGTTTCATTTATTTAAATTCTTCCTCATCCTTTATATTTTGTACTCATTGTAGGAAATCGATATATAAATACAGATTAGTGTATTTTAAAAAATTACAATAAAAAGATCGAAATGCTCGAAAAACCCGGTCTTGACCGGGTTTTGATTACTCTTACACCCGAAAACCCGGGTTTTTAAAATTGAACCGAGTTTCGATGCCCTAATCGGACTGCTGTTAAGAAGCAAAAAAAAAGGGCTCGCTTGATGTAAAATTCTAAGAACCTATTATTGAAACTTTGTCACAGACTATCTTAGGTAAGTTATTACGTTGTCACCTTAATCTATGGCGAGTAATCATGATAAAGAGTTATGATTTCCCTTCCTAAGATGTCTATCGCTCTGAGAGAATCTAGTCCTCACTCATACCCGCCCATATCATATGCTAATGAGTGAAACAAATAGAAACAAGGTGAAGGAAACGAGAACCGTTTCTCGGAATAACATTAGTAGAGTGCATTTCCCAGGAAAATAATGTCGAAAATGGTCATTTAAATGTTATAGATATAGTTGCCCCGTTTCTGTAATTTTTAAATGTGTTTCACTTATAGTTAAGTTATTTCAAAAATTTCCTGCTTAAGTAACGTTTGCAACGTTACTGCAGCCAGACATTTTCTTTTTACACGCTTTATATTAGTTTAATGGGAATATTGAAATAAATATTAACTAAATAAATTGTTATCTAGACGAGGTAAATGTTACAAATTATTTTGTATTTGTATCTTCTTCTGCTGCGAAGTTATTCGAAATCTTGCTGGAGTAACGTTTGTGGGTTTGCTGGATCTCTGAAACGGGTAAGTGAATTCTAACCAGCTTTTGTACATATTTCTTAAGAATTAGTTTAAATTTGTTTAACAATAAAAACAAAAATAATGCCCCGTTTAAAGATTATGTAATTAAGTATGAAAACACATCGTTACGTCCTAACACTTTGAATAAGACCTCTAAAAACTTACATACTACAGCGCCATCTAACGAAGACACACCGAACCACGGAGTAACTCCTGAATAAGCAATGCTTATCCTGTATCGCGATATGAAAAAATCGTTAGAGGGACAATCCACCCGTTCCTCCACAATGGTGACCCCGACGTGATTGGAAGCAGCCTTCCAGAAGCAACCCCGCAGCAGCACTATCGCCACCATCAGTCAGTCAGTCAGCAACCTCGGCCACAACAGGGGGATACCAACTGCAGGTAGCGATCGCTTCAGCCTGGTTACCCTACGGCTTCATCAGCGTCTAAGCTGCCCGCCACTACGAGCAACCGCCCCGACTCACTGGGGACTTCACCGCAGCATCGCACACCGCATGCAATACCAACTCACTGGGATCGGCGGACTTCAGTCACGACTTACTGTGACTAGCGGCACTAGATATCGACCTCTGGTCTTGGAGGGGAGTGATGTAGCGTCTCCTACATACAAAGAAACAAAATCATACTACAGCGCCATCTAACGAATACACACCGAACTATGGAGTAACTCCTGAATGAGCAATGCCAATCCTGTATCGCGATATAAAAAATTCTCTCGCCGACCAGCATATTGAGAACTTTCCGACATCGACCGTAGGGCGGCGACCCGCCAGGTGATCACCTCGCAAGGTCGGAAGATCCTCCCTTTGTGTTGGAGGACACGACACCCGTTCTTCGTACATAACACGACCGAGTTCGGTATGTATTTATTTATTTATTTATATAATTTAAGGATCTCCAACAAAGGATATACACAGTTGTTATGACTTACTATAAATACTTCACAGTAATCTTTCGGTGTACTCCCTCAATTATAGGAGACCACAGCTTGCAAACATTAGTGACAAGTTATAATAAACCTATATATTACATACAGATCGCACATAAATCTAAATCATGAACACAATTTTTATGTAACTATAGATAGCTAATTAACATGTAGGCAGACAATATTACTAACATATCACTGCAAAATATTTTTTAAGGAACCTTTATATTTTAAAAATGAGATACTGAGATCTAGGTTTTTAGTTTTAGACAACACATTATATTGCCTGCAGAGCCTAGGCACAGCGGCGTAGTGACCCAGGTTTGACTTTGCTGAGCGGACAGAAAATAGACTGTAGGCTCCTATCCTTGGTAGACGTGATGGTACATTTATAGATAGGCTACTCATAAGCTCGTTGCAGTCTGTGTAACCATTGTACAACTTATAAGGAAAAATAGCATCAAGGTACTGCCTGCGGCTACTGAGTGTGCGCATATTGTAGTGTTTGAGCCTTTCGGTGTAGCTCTATCTCTCTCTCTGTCTTAGCTTTATAGTCACTGTAGCAAAGGTGATAAAAAAACCGTTTTTGGATACTTTCAAGACGTTTATTGTACACTTCGTAATGGGGATTCCATACAATGGAGTTGTATTCCAA